CGGAGGTTTCTTCCTGTTAAAAGGGAGTTTTTCCTTCCCACTGTCGCCAAAGTGCTGCTCATAGGGGTCATATGATTGTTGGGTTTTTCTCTGTATGTATGAAGCGCCTTGAGGCGACTTTTGTTGTGATTTGGCGCTATATAAATAAAATTGAATTGAATTGAATTGAATGGGGGGTAAGGAAGGGGCAGAGTCGGTTAATATTACGTAAATGGAAGTAAGCAGACCGGGTTATGTAATTAATGTGAGACAACAGAATAGCAAATGGTAAATGGTAAAAGGATTGGTTCCTATATAGTGCTTTTCTCTGACAACTCAAAACACTTTACACAACTTGCCTCATTCACCCATTCACACCAGCACTTTTTTCTATGCTCTTTCTATCTAAGTGCTTTCTATCTAAGATTCACACACATTTAAACTCCAATGGATGCATCGGAGAGCAACTTAGGCTTAGTATCTTGCCCTGTTTGGCGTGCAGACTGGATCAGACGGGGACAGAACCACCAAACCTCCAATTAATAGATGACTTGGCTGTTTGTCTTAACATCTTGGAATACCTTCGTCAAAAAAGGAATACTTTCATCTGAAAATGTGGATCTATGTGGATTGTATAGACAGGAAAAAAAACAAAAAACAAACGAATCTTGTCTGGTCTGGTGTCTATTGATTTCGGCAACATTTGGATCATGCAGTGAGAATCTAGTGTAAACAACTTGGAAACATGGATGTACCTTGCTTTGCGTCAATGGTTTGAGATGCTGGTGGTATAATTCCGATTATTCAGAAACGGAAGAAATATAAAATGACATCAATCACCCTCATTTTGAAGCTCCAGGGAGATTTTGCCTCATGGGGTGAGGATGAAGGTGGCACATCAACCCAAAACTACACAGGAGGATGGCAGTTGGGATCACACCATTGGTAACATCTCTGAACATCAAAATGATTCAAAGAAGGCTTGGGAGAAAATGGGGCTTTTCAGCATCAACTCAACCTGTTGTGTTTGGAGGACGGGAAATGCTGAGCATGATCCAAGGAACACCATCCTCACAGTCAAGATTAACATAAATCAGTTTACAGCTTTTATCTAATGTGGTGTTTTTGTGTTGTTGATATTTTGTCTCTGTCCATAAAAAATATAATTCCTTTGAAAGTGAGCAACCTTACAAATTCAGCAGATGATCAAATAATTATTACCCCAGTGTATCTGTAAAGTCATATGACACAGAACACCAGAAACCATCACTGCCCATAAGACAGATCTAATGAAATAAACCTGTAACCTGTTTATATGAATGATGATCCTGAAAAAGCCTATGGGGCTTTGTTGACATTAACAATGTCTCAAGATAAAAAAAAAATAAACATTGCTAGTTAGCAACCAGAGATCTCACGGATTCGAAATCTGCAAGTTTCACCACGCTCCGACCAAAGTTCATTGAACCAGTGGCAAAGAAGACCACAAATATGCAACTTTCCATATGTGCTAAAGCAGAAAGCCGCTTAGCTGAGCGTTTTCCTCCGCTGTTCCCCACCAATAGCCGATAGCTGTAGCTACTGATAATGGCGGTGCTAACACAATGCATCAGAGCCACATCAACAATCGCCATTTTCAGCCAAGTTACAGTCACATTACTGGATTATGTCTTACTTTCAGGGTCATGTGGAGTTTTCGACTTGCAACTTCTGATTGGTGGAACTGATGTGAACATGGCATAATTACGGTGATTCTATTGGCTCAAACTATTAAAAAGAGGTGTCAATCATGCAAATCAGCCAATAGAAGCTGAAGTTACAGCCCCTCAAAACCTATTTAAACTGTCTATGGCAGAGTAGGCCATTGGATGTGAGTGTGTGGGTAATTCTTCAAAAATATTCAAAAAACAAGCATTTTTAGACATGCAATTGAATTTAAATAGTGTCTGCTGTTCAATAACTAAAACATTTGTGCCAAAATTGGACAAACTAGACAACGTCTGAACATTTATTTATTTATTAAAAGCGCAGTAATTTTTCACTGTTTCACTTCAGAAGCATAAATCTTTGCACAGATGCTTTTCATATGTTGATTACTGGTTTTATAAATTTAAATGTGAACCAAAGTATATTTTCAAAGAGGTTATATGCTAAAAAAATAACAAATAACTTGAGGAAAAAATGTACTTACTTTTTCTGTGTTCCAGCCTCAGTAACTTTGACACAGTAACATCTGTTGTAGCATTTACACCTTTGATGAAATCTCACAAATGTTAACTTTGTTTTGATACCAAGATTGTTTACATAGAGTTTGTAATTGCAGAGAAAGACTCCACTCATGTCTTTTTTGAGCAGGAAGCTCAGAAAGCCCCTGGTGGCTTAACTGGTTATTAACTGATCTTTTGTTGCTTCTTCTCTCCCTTTCTTCCAGAGTCTGTAGCTCTCTGCTCAGGGACAGTCTTCTGCAGCCCTTCTGTGATCACAGGCCTACCTGGCATTTCTCATCCATATCCTTCTTCTTTCCATTCACCCATCTTTCCCCGTTATGAAAGGCCTGTCCAGTAGCCGGGGTCACCATCATGTGGTCTCCTATGAACCATCATATGATCCACTGGGTCACCATGTTGACCGCAAGCCATATTTGATCAGTCAGATGGACATGCCTGTGCCCATTCCCATGCCACATCCAGCTGAGCTGCCCTACTACAATGCTCAGCGTACCTCATACCCCTCTGACAGCAACAGCATCGTCCCATATGGAACCTTCCCCAGGAGGTGCCACTCTACCTCCTCATCTCACCATCCTGAGGTAAAGGATGAGTGTATGGCCATGGTACCATATGTAGGAGGAGGAGGAGGAGGAGGTGGTGGAGGAGGAGGAGGTGGAGGAGGCTATGGGGGTAAAACACCCACTCGGGTACCAGCAAACTTTGTGGACCCGTTTGAACGTCAGCCATCATTTTCCAGAGATGGCTACCATACATTGCAATACAAACGAGGGGTGCAGGCCCACAGTGGGGGGATGGGGGCCAACAACAACAATGACAGTCCAGGGAGAATTCGCCATCTTGTCCACTCAGTCCAGAAACTCTTCACCAAGTCACATTCACTGGAAGGGCCACACCACACACAGTCCTCCAAGGGGGCCAATAATGGGAGTGTTAATGGTGGTGGTGGTGGCGGTGGAGGAGGTGGTGGTGGTGGCTCCAGGGCCAGCCCAGAAGGTGAAGCTCCACCAGTGGGAGTGCGCCACCGGAAACGCAGTAAGAGCCGTGAGCGCTGTAGATCAGCAGAGCCCAAGCATCGAAGCCACCACCACCACCACCACCAGCTCCACGGCTCAGCATCTGCTCCAGGCTCTGGATACTGGAGCTCAGATGACAACCTGGAACGGGAGCTGTGTCTCTACCACCCTCACCACCACCAACCTCCACCTTCACCCTCCCCCTCCATTTCCCCCTCGCCTATTGCCATGACAATAAGCCGGTATCCCGGCAACAACCCAGACAAGTTCCCCCAGACTCCCCTCCCCAGTCTCTCCTCCTCGCAGTCCCAGCAGTACTTCATGATGGACCCTTACGGCACACTAAACGAGCACACACACACCCACGCACACCATGGCCACACACACCACCATTCTGCACTCAAAGCCTCCCGGAGCAACAACGATGTGAAGTATGCAGCGTCGACAGCATGTGTGCCGATTAGTGGTAGCAGCAATAACAGCGGTGGCGGTATCGGTGGAGGAAGTGGCTCCTTGCTTCCAGTGGGTCTTGTGGACGGGCCCCTTGTGAAGAAAGGGCCATGGTCATCAAGCCTAACGGTGAGCAGGGCCCGAGAGGTCTACACCAACAACAGCAGCCACAACCAGCCACGAGCCAGCGCAGGATCCGGTAACCTAAACCTAGATAGAGCTCTAGTCAAATCTAAGGGCAGTCAGCAGCAGGAGCGCGCTTGCCATTTCTTACAGGTAAATAATTCCTCCCCAACCCCCATCCAAATCCAGTCAATTCACCTTCTCCCCCCTCTGTTGATTCCCTTTTCTCCACAACTTACTTTTTTCCATCAATGCTTCCTCTAAGTCAGTGGTGTCCAGTCCTACAGTTCCAGGTAGACAAGGGCAAACCAAGTGGAGTCCATAAGTTTGTCTTTAGTTTAGCAGATATGTGACAGGTTTTTGCTCTATCAATGCCAAAACAACTGGGCACTTGGCAGCCCTTTTGAGAAAAACCACTACAAAGACTTGAAAAAAAGATTAACACACAAGTCATAAACACTTCTCTTAGATATCTAACTTAATAATAAATAATGTAATTAATTATCATAATATGTGCTCTGTCAATCAGGTGCTGTATGACTGATTATTTCAAAAGTGGGAGAGCAGTAGAGTGATCAAAGACTGAAACTAACTTAAATAAACTGGGAAATAGATTTAATGACAGATATTTCTGGACAGTTTAAGAATGCTCCTACCATGGGAAACCCAGTCATCATGAAATGATGAATAGACGGCAGTGATGGAGGACTTCAGCAAGGGCCTTTCATGCAGGTTAGCAAGAAACATGACCCAGGATGAAATATGTTTCAATTTAGGAGACAGGGTTTAGTAAGTGATCGCCTAGGTGCTTTGAGAGTTTGTATGTTGTTTGGTGTTTGGTTGGAGTGAAAACTGCAAATTTACATGACTGGAAAGTACTACTGAATATCACTGACTATAACTGATGGCACACTAGAATAATGAAGGCGTCGCCACATTCATCAGTTTACAACTCTGAGAACCTTTTGACAATGTAAAAAAATATTATATTTATACCACTTATACTATTATATTTAGATAACCCTGGTATTTTCATTGTTTAAATCAATGACTTAAATACAAATAATTAAATCATTTTATTGAATTAAAACTGATTTCTTACGAATACGATTAGGTGTTTTAGAACATATTATTTGTAAATTGAGAAATCTGACTTCATGAGTGTTTGCACAGAAATGCAAGTAGTGGTGATAACTGCATCATACTGATAAGTTCAGGACACATAAGAGCTATAGTTACTTGCTTCTTTCACATTGAAAGCAATAACAAGTGGAAGCTAGAAACCCCCCCTAAAAGCTACAACCAACACCACTCATTTACATGCTGGGCTTTAAAAGTAAACAAGCAAACCAATGAAAAAGCAACAAGGATTCCAAAATCAGACTGAAAACTGTAAAGATCGACTGGTAAAAAGACAAAAAGTACTCTGGCATTAATGTTTATTTTTTGTCCCAACCAATATTCTATCAAACATGGGTTGTAGACCGGGACAGCAACATACAACATAACACGATTCTTTAGAAACTTCAGGAAAATGTTCATTAAAAGAAAATCAAAAGAGCACACATGCGTATGTGAGTATTGGGAAGATAGGGAACACCACCAAAGACAAATCAACCGCAGGTTACTGCGGTTGATTTGTCTTTGGGTTTGGGTTTGGGCCTGGTTATCTTATCAGTCTTTGGGTTTGGGCCTGGTTATCTTTGCACATGATAAGAGCACTTAAAACAATCTGTTAAACAACATTAAGAAAAATCCCACACTCACTAGTAACAGTGCAGCATGTACTCAGAGTCAGGTGATATGGATTTGTTCTAGTGTGTCCAGACCCTTAGAGGGAACATTACTCCCTACCACCAGTCTACTACTCTTGTCTCCCAAGAACCCCACTGCCACCTACTCCTCTTCTCTACCACTTCCCTCTCTGCCTTTCCTCCACTCACCCAACCCACTCCCACGCTTCCACCTACCTTCTTGCCACCCACCAACCCACCTCTACTTCCTTTACTTCCTCTTGGTTTGGAGAGCCTCCCTCTTCCTTCTCCTCTTCCTCCTCTATCCTCCTTTTGCGTTGAAGAGAGAAGTAAGTGCAGAGCCAATAGCAGCCTTACTCTCTGAATGCTAGGTAATGACATGAACTCATGAAGAACAACATCCTTTCCTGTTTGTAGAGTTCATTTTTAATTTAGTAGTGTTTCCCTTCCTGCCTCGCTACCAGTTACCCTGACTTTCTCAATATTTTTTGTTGGATGAATAAATTAATTTTGCTGTTATTTGAAGTGTCGTGTTAAACTAAGTGTTGGGGAGGTATTTAACGCCACACAGGGAGTAGAAGTGTCTGGCAGTTGCCTAATGGTGCTGCAAGAAAATGTTTTAATGTAATTACTTGATATATACAGTACATTCTAAAAAAACATGTAGCAGGATTTGTGCTGCTGGAAAATCTGACACCATCCAAGAGGCACTTGGTTTGGTGCAATTTTCACTTTTTATTATTCGCATCAAATATACGATCATATTTCAAATCATTTTTACTATACTAGTTGTGTACTCATATTTCTTGGTGGCAGTCATTCTCCAAAGTGTATGAACTGGGATATTCAAGTGATAAACAAACATAGCATTCAGTGTACCTGTCTACAGACACGTCTACATCAAAGACCCACAATGGCCAGAAAACAATGTTGCAGATGACTTTTCTATATGCTGTTCAGTGTTAAGTTGGATACCATTAGCTGTTTGTGCCTTCATTTCATTTCATGTTGACAAGCAGAACAAATGACATCTTATGGCAGGATGAAGACATCAGAAACAGACAAAAGATGATCTAACCACAACACGAGCCTAGTCATTAATTAATCGTGTTACTGCATGATTGGGACCTCCAAAGTTGTGATTGTAAGCATAACATGCATATCAAAATCTTAGTTAGCCGGACAGCAGTCTTTTTTGAAGCATTCAAATACTCGCAGCCCACAGCTTATAGTGTACGCCACGAGTTTTTAAAAATTTGGCTTAAGGGCATGTTACATATGAATATTGCTAACAAAAAGCTCGAGAGGCAAACTATGATAACTGAATAGTCTTGATGCATGCTCAATCATCCAGGTAAGTAAATCTCCAAAAGTTGATTCTTTTCATCTGGACGTAGCGTTTTTGAGACGTTCAAGCTTTAGGCAGTCCTTGCCAAAGTGGGTTAAAACATCTAAAACGTCTTTGGCCAACCCACTTTGGCAAGGACTGCCTAAAGCTTGAACGTCTCAAAAACGCTACGTCCAGATGAAAAGAATCAACTTTTGGAGATTTACTTACCTGGATGATTGAGCATGCATCAAGACGTTTCATTCAGTGGTGTTAGTTTTAGTCATTATGCAAATGTACAGTTTATAAGGTTGGAAACCTGCAGTCAGCTGAGACTGAAAAAGTCACCTGGCTGAGTGACGAAACGTTTCTCCCACAAAACGCTACGTCCAGATGAACAGAATCAACTTTTTGGGATTTCCTTACTTGGATGGTTAAGCATGCAAGGCATTTCATACCTGGCATTAAAACACTGGACACAGTGTCCACCAGTGTTAACAGAAATATGTCTATTACAATTTCCATCTGCACAGACTAAATGTCAGAGTGCAGCATGAGTTGAATTTAGCTACCCGGCATATGGCTAAGTAAATGTAGGGTTAGGCTAACCCTAACCATATACATTGTTTGACAAAGAAAAATCTAAAATGTTGATGTGATTGGCACTGGGCTGCTTTTTGTCATTCAAAGGGACAGAGATGAGTGACCTGTAAAACCTCAGGTGACTGTGTTATGCCTGTCTCAGTAATTCCATCTCAACATCAGTAAAAGGTCTGACTGCCACTGCTTAATATGAAAAATAAGGTATGCAGAAGTAGACCCACTTCAAAGTTCCACTGTGTAACTGATAGTTAAATAACCTCCCCAGTACCTGCTTGTGTTTATGTGTTATTCTGTTGTGCAATGTGGTGTAATCTGCAAGTGTGTTTGTGTGTGTGTTTGTGTGTGTGTGTGTCGATGCAAGCTCTTTGCGGCTGCATTATACAGTCTGACAGAATTACCAACAAAGTTGTGAGCATTCACGCTGCTAAATACGATACTAAACCCCACAATCACAAACTTTATCTTTAGAGCTTTCTAGATTTGTAATCATCTGTGAGGTTTTCAGAAATTGCCCATTACCTTTTCAAGAAACCAGTGAACAATTCCTGGCAACACAATGTATCTTCGTTCTCTAGAGGAACAATCGTGACCCAAGCTGAGGAGACAAATGTGGAGACAAATCACCGTTTTAAAACCATTATGCAAAGATAGAGGTCAGCTCATAGCCAAACCCACTGTGGACACATGCCATTCATTTCTGGTTAATCAACTCGAGGATTAGTAGGAAAGAAAATAGTGAAACATCAGCAGGCTAAACAGAGGTGCATTTTGAAGTATTGCAGCATTATTACATTAGATGCAATTGTCTAGATGTAGATATTCCACATAGCTTTGTGTGCTGGCTCACTTTTATCAACAGGAACAGACCTTAATTAAGGACTGGCCAATCAGCTCCGTAGTCAGGATGGTCCTATCATCCCCCGGTAGGACTATAGATAACCAGTATTGTTGGGTGGCAGAGGAGGCTGTAGCAAGAAGGACCTGATGCTTAGCAGTTTGATGACAGTCATTTCTATTTGCAATGCTTTCTGCTCTTTAATCTACATGCACCACACAGCTCTCTCCTCCAGGCCCGGCGGCTACTGAAATAGGTAAGGTGTAGTTAGTGTGATGAATAACAGGTGAACCCACTGCTCAGAGGGTGAAAGGGCAGACCAGGAGGTAATAACGAACGGAGTCAGCCACCCACTGGATTTTCTCCAACTGGTACCCCAGATGCTGTACCTCCTTCCATCCAACTGCACTTGTCTTCAGGTTGACTATAAGCCCCATCTGCCTGAGGGACTCCAGGACCACAGCCACCCACCGCATATGCTCCACTCAGGTGTCACAGTGGATGAATAGAATAGAATAGAATAGCTTTATTGTCATTATATGACATAATGAAATCACAATTGCATGTCCCTTTAAAAAGCCATATGAAATAAATAATTTAGAGACAGTACACGGGCAAAAAACCCAAAAAACCA